AAGAGGGGAACAGGAGCAGAAGGAACGGCAGGGAGAGGAACTAGTGGGGTGTCATGGGAGGCAGTACATAAAGGAGGGAGGGGAGCAGGAATAGGAGGAATGACAGAGGAAGATGAGAGAGGGGTGGTGTCGGAAGAAGTGGTGGGGAGAGGTAGCAGAGGGACGGCATCAGTAACGACATGAGAAAGTGGAAGAGGGGCGGGATCGGAGGGGAGTGGGACAGGGATAATAGGAAGTGTGGAGGTAGGCGGGAGAGGGACGGGGTAATAATAGGATCCACCCGCCCCGAGAACGGGGTACAGAGGGGTGGGGACAGGAGGGCCTTTGACAATTGGAGGTGGCGACTGGGCAGTGTCTGGGGAGGCGGGGTGAAGTTAATTCACGGTATTCTGGGCGCCATCATAGGGCGGTGGCTGGGGAACATCAAGAGACGAATCATCATTACAAACATTTCTGTGATATACATAAATTGTTTGTCCTTCAAAATCAATTTCTTCCTCTGACCAACCCTCCCGCTTGAGTCCTCTTGCTACCTGATACCAAGCCTCTACGGCTTTTGTCAACCCATTATCCAATAGTAAGCCCTCTTTATCAATAAGCAATTTCCTCCAAAACTCTGGCTGTAATCTACCACTGGGTGACATTTGGAAACCACAAATCTTTGCTATCTTCTTTATTTTTAACATAGCCTCCTCTCCTGCTCTCTCCTTAACGATATCACAAGCTAAATAACCTTTTGAAGGTCTGGCATGTTCTTGTCCCATTTTTACCAAACAAGGCTTTCCCTGTAAGAGGGGCCGAGAGAGAGAGAGGAAAAAGAAGGAATGTCTACAGTGCTCGACTGCCACAAGGAATTTCCCTAAACCCAGACGAGTCACAGGATCCGCCCACCCGAGATGGTGGCCACGGATCTGAGCGAGCGAGCATGGTTGACTAACACAGCTCTAGGCAACAAGTACAGAAGAGGTAGAGGATAAGGGAAAAGGTGAACGTGGAGAGACTAATCAGAAGACATTTACAGGAGTCACAGATGTAGAGATGAGCACATAATCCGGAATCAAGGACGAGCCACACAGCACACACACACACAACTAGGGTACCCATACTATGACTATAACTGAATAGAAAGCATAATATAACAAAATACAGTAAAACTACGAACATAGTAATAACTAAACAGTAAATGAACCCTGTTCTACTCTGAACAGTACAGCAAAATTTTCAGCCTTTCTCTAGGCAGATGCGTTCCCTGCCCGCTAGGCAGTCAAGCTACAATAAATCCCCAGCCTTTTTCTAGGCGGTTCCCAGCCCTTCACCTGGCGGACAAAATTCCCAGCCTTTCTCTAGGCGACTCCCAGCCCTTTACCGGGCGGACAATACTTCCAGCCTTTCTCTAGGTGGCTCCCAGCCCTTTACCGGGCGGATGCATTCCCTTCCCGCTAGGCAGTCAAGCTATAATGATAATAAAGCATAATTCACACGACAGCTGTCTCACACGCACACATACACTCAGGAGGCAGATAGACAATCGACAGGTTCGTTTTAAAAAGGCTATTAAATACCAACTTTCCAAAGACTGCAAAATGAATATTAAAGATAAAAAAATGTCATAAAGTATATACCTTGCTTTCTATGACTTCTGTTACCATCATGCCTCTATTGCACTCTTGAGATATAGCTGTTGCGTATCTGCAACTCTAGTCAGAAAAGCAATGTAAATGTAGGGTTTTGTCTTCTCCTATAATTGATATTTGAAGAAACTATTCTTTTGCCACTACTCAGCTATCGGACGTCTTATCTAGAACTCCCAATTCCTAATGATGTGGATATGTGAATAAGAACCATTTTAAAATGGAGGATTACTCTTATTATCTCTTGAAATCAAACTCTCAGCCAATGCACTGGCCTTACATATGCTGTATATGTTATTCTGCTTGGAGTTAGTGGCGGAACTACCGCGGTCGCAGGGAGGACTGCTGCAACCGGGGTGCCCGCACACATTGTGGTGCGGCCCTGGCCGCGCAGAACAACCAGGGCCAGGGCCACAATGAAGGAACCCATCAGTGGCCCATGCTCTTGGGGCCACCCGATAGCAATGAATTTCCTGGGGCCAGGTCTGCGCTGTGGCACTTTAAGAGCACGACCAGGCCCTATTGATGATGGAACACAATGGAACGCAAACGGCATTCTACTATATTAGATGGCCGGAAAAAGTTCTCATGTACATAAGTGATGATGCTCAATAAAATGAGAAAAAATAGCATAGTAAATAAGAGCAAAAATGCATATATAAAAATACACAGTAAGTTTTAATACACAATTGATAACCCAAAAATTCATATCTATAACATCTATATGACACATATATATACACAATAGGGCATACTAAATATGCAAAGAAAAAGGGAGAGGTAAGAGCTGGCAAAGGTAGAGAGAGCAATAAATAAAAATAATACAAATTATATACACCACATATGTGTGCTTAAAAATATAAAAATCTACAAAACCGATATATAAATAAAAACATCTAATTTAAAAAATGAATAAATTCAAAATCCAAATTTAATCCGTTAGGAGATAACGAATCTACATCAAAAATCCATTTGCTCTCTATCTTTGTCAGCTCTTTAACATTGTTTTCACCTCTCCAATTTTTTTCTTTTTTTGAAAACAGCCATAAAAGATAACACAGATGGATCATCGTATATATATGTGTCATATAGATGTTATATATATGAATTTTTGGGTTATCAATTGTGTATTAAAACTTACTGTGTATTTTTATATATGCATTTTTTTTTCTCATTTTATTGAGCATCATCACTTATGTACATAAGAACTTTTTCCGGCCATCTAATATAGTAGAACGCCGTTTGCGTTCCATTGTGCGTTCCAATTGACGAAAACCGGAAGTGACATCATTTGATAATACCGAAAGTGACGCATATGGACGGAAATCACACACAGGTGATTTGAGATGCCGGGCATATTTAAACAAACATTGAAGACTCAAGCACCAGCACTGGAAGAAGGCTATCGAGTCGAAACGCGTTTGCTGCTATTATTTGCTTGTTATTGTATTTTTATATTACTCTCTTGGTTACTTTGTTTAGGGTAAGTGGAAATCCCTTTTTCTATGTTTTGCTAAAGGGTTCCACTCCCTTAGTACCTTGAGTTTGTGGATTATTTTATCCTCAATAAAATCCTTTTTTTACACACTGCGAAAGCTTCTCCATCTACTCTCTGGGAATTCGCTAGCCTGTATTGGCACCCTTGAGCCTGCTATACAGAGCCTGGTACGGCTCTGTTAAATGTGAGTGGTAGTTTTTTTGTTTTATATTTATTTTTCTGTGTTACAGTTTACACTATGTTGTGTTATGTATTTATTTTTTAGATTGTATCTTGCTACCCCGCTATTTTCAGGTTGTATTTTTATTTTAATTTTTATTTTTATTTTTTCACTACCACTTCACTTTTGGGATTTTCTCCTAAAATGTGGTTTTGATATATACTCTTTATTAAAGATTGATCATGTCACATGCAGAAAGTTCACCGCTTTTTAAATTATTTAAATTATTATTTTTTTTATTACATTAATCTTGATGCATTAAGCATATAATTGCCGGTATACAGATTTGAAAATAAAAAATAAAAAATGTTAAAGTGCTCGTTTTAAAAAAAAAATGATAAGTTTTTTTTTAGTAGCTAAAATGTACATAATGAACTAAGTTGTTTGAATTGTTTATTTGTAAAATAGAGGTTCATTTTAAAGGGGACCTTTAAGTATCATAACAACTACAGCTCATTTTTTATGCTTTTGGTGCTTTAAGTGGACACCATACACTTTTTTTCTGTCAAAATGTTTTGGAATTGTTTGCCAAAAAAACAAGACTCTCCCAGAACCCACAGTCCAACCCTGTTGTAGCCTCATTGTTAATTCTAAAATTATACTTTCACATCTCCAGGTATACATCCTTTTTGCCTTGAATGGCAATAATAAGCTGTTAGACGTAGGCTAACCCATCCCAGCACATCAATGCCACCCAAAGATGGATGTATTTGCAGTTGACAATGCAAAGTGTCATTTTTCATTACCAGCAGCTGCAGAGGGGAGAAAACAAAAAAAAATACTCAAATTATAGGGGTTAACACTATAAAATGTGGAAAACAACCAAGGGTGGTGAATGCGAGTCACAGTATATTGTTTAGGTATTTTATAGATAAGAAAATGAGATGACTTGATTTTGAAGATGTTCAATCTTTCACTGACACCTTTCACTGACTGTGGCCAGAAATTTTAAATTTATAACAAAGGACTTTATCTGCCGAGCTGCTGAAATCTGTTCACTCAAGTGATATCAAAATCACACGGAGTAACATCATAAATCATAATGTGTCAAACTATGCCTGAAAAGAAGAAGAATTTAGTGTTTTTTTGCTTAAAATGTGAAATAGCTCATTTACCGCACATACATAATCTTATTAAACTTGTCAATAGCTTGTTGTAATAGATTGCATAAAAATATGTACAGTTGCAATAAAAAGTATGGGAACCCTTTGGAATGATATGGATTTCTGCACAAATTGGTCATAAAATGTGATCTGATCATCATCTAAGTCACACCAATAGACAATCACAGTCTGCTTAAACTAATAACACACAAAGAATGAAATGTTGCCATGTTTTTATTGAACACACCATGTAAACATTCACAGTGCAGTGGAAAAAGTATGTGAACCCTTGGATTTAATAACTGGTTGAACCTCCTTTGGCAGCAATAACTTCAACCAAACGTTTCCTGTAGTTGCAGATCAGACGTGCACAACAGTCAGGAGTAATTCTTGACCATTCCTCCTTACAGTTTAGCAATATTCTTGGGATGTCTGGTGTGAATCGCTTTCTTGAGGTCATGCCACAGCATCTCAATCGGGTTGAGGTCAGGACTCTGACTGAGCCACTTCAGAAGGCGTATTTTCTTCTGTTTAAGCCATTCTGTTGTTTAAGCCATTCTGGGATCACATACTTTTTCTTGCAACTGTACATACAAGAAATAATTGATATAAAAGGACTTGCACAAATATTCATATAATATTCGTTGCCAGTAACCGCAAAATGTAGGTTATTTTTTTTTTTGTAAATTCTTTTTCAGGTTATATCGTCATTCGTAGTGGGATACAGAATGAAAAGTGGGCATGTCTGCCCCTCACTGGTGGTTGCACCAGTAGGAAAGCTGCGAAGATGTCGGTTGCGGATGAGATGTGGTATTTGCGGCTATCTTCCGTAGCTATCAGGGTATGTGAGGGGCCCCATTTGTAGGCAATCCCCGCCAATTGTAGGCCCCATTTGTAGGCAATCCCCAACAATCTCAAGGACTGCATGACTCTCTGGAGGGATCTTCTCCAGGTCAGAGTGGAGCAGCATAAATCCTGTAGAAAGTGGAGCTGCGTCTCTTTTAAGTGGTAAGGCGTCTTGGTCTTCACCGCGTTTTGAACCGCCATCCTGTCTCGTAGCATTAGGAAGTGCACTGGTACGTCCCGAGAAACCCCAGCCGATGCTCTGGCTGATTTCACCAATATGAAGCAGCTGTCTATTTGTATGCCTTTGGCCGAGCATTGAGGTACTATAGAAGCAGATAGGCGTCGTAGGAAGTGCGGCAGTTCTTGGTCATCGACTGTTTCCACAATACCTCTAACTTTGAGGTCTGCGCATCGTCTCGTATCTTCCAGCAAATCTATTTGTATTTGGACAGCTTTATGAGTGACCTGAAGTTGACAGACCTGCTCCGCACTACTCTATTGGCTTTGGGTTATGGAGGAGACGGATTCCTCGGTCACCCTCACTCTGGCAGTGACCACAGACATGTCCTCCCTGATGATATCCAGATCAGCATTAAAGAAAGCGCTGATATTGTTCATTATGGCTTTAATATCCCCCTTCGTAGCCGGGGCTTGCAGATCTTTCGTCAGTGGCAAAGGATCCGAGCCCTCCGATCTCGTGATGTCATCAGGGGCATCAAGGACTTCATCCTCGGAGGAGGAGTAAGGTGAGTCCAGTGGTGGTGCCATTTTGGGCCTAGGCCGCGGCTGCAGGAGGTCGCATATATTTCCTGGAGCCGTCCACGCGAGGGTTTTGAGCTTTTTTGCCTTCTTGACGATCTTATGGTGTAGTTAGGCTCGGTCTCTGTCAGTATTAAGGCAAAAAAAACCTTTGAAAAAAGGGTATATGTCGTGTAAATAGCGGGAGCTCTGCAGGCACACGTCCGCTCCCTTCGGTGTCCAAGCCACAACCCCCAAAAGGTAGGTACATTTGTTTCCACTTCCACCATCATGCAGACCATGAGGATATATTCCAAATTGCAAATCTGTGCAAACGTGCATGAAAAAGCAAACAAATTGTAACTATAATGTTGCTAGAGTTAAATTATTGAAAGAGTAATAAAACAAAAAACATATCCAACTGATCAATACTTCTGTGACATTGTTTTTATTTGTATGTACGTTTTGGTTTAAAATCCAGAGCGTATGTTTAACTGGTGTGATGAATGTTTATGTATAAACATTGGTCTTTTTAGGCTCAAGTAGCTCCACAACTGAATAATGCATGTTTTAGGCATGCCCAAATATAATGCTTTATTTTTTTTATATACGATTACTAGCCCTGACCAGGCTTTGGTGAATCCCCCATTCCTCCATAATAAGTGTTATGCTTTAATGGGTCTTGTCACACTTGTTGTGCTATGATGCTGCAGTTAATAAAACAGAGACGGTTCTCTATGGTGCAAGCAAGAATTTCCACTGCACCTTGAGAAATGCTCCTATCAGTTGCTGCAGAAACTAGATATATAGTTCATAGTGCAGAAAAACATATTGTAGAGATTCAAAAGTGTCATTAAGAGGTATCATAATCCCTTATTGAGAGAGACAGCTCATCTTTATAGTAGTTTCTGTGAAAGACTCTAAAATGTACAGCATTTACAATCGAGGAAGCAGAATGATAGAAAAAGTTTCATCTGCGATATTGCTACTTCAAGAACTAGTATGTATACATAATATTAAAATGGCATGGAAACAACTTTTTAAAAAACCATAAACTTTTCTGCCCTTACTAAATTTTAAACACCATAACCACTAAAGAATATTATGGTGAGTATGGTGTTATTAGTTTATAGGCACCATACCACGGTAGTATGTCAACCATTTTATAGTGTGGGGCTCTTGGAGCTGAGACTGTGTGCATGTTTTTGATAATCAAGTTTTTCTAGCATGGGGGGTGTGGTTAAGGATGCAGGCTTACGGTGCAGAATTCTGCAAAACATTCATTTATTTTGTGAAAAAAACTATAAAGATTTGAACATGCAAAAAACACATCATAATAATGAGGCCAAAAGCTATCAAATGCATTAGCTGACTTCATGACCAACCATTATGTTGTGTCCAGTCCATTTCACATACAGATTATCAAGGTGTATATTTTTTATTTGTTAAACTCCCTGATGCACTCTAAAACAAAAAGTACCTTGTAGAGTAAGCATGTCAACGTCAAAGTCTAGTACGGGCCAAATAAACAAGGTTTACGTTCATGTGAGCCGCAAAAAAAAACTTACATTTTCATAGAAAAGTTGGTTTATTTTGAAAAGTACAGTATAAAAATTCCCCCAGCATCCCCCTCTACCAAATCCCAGTTCCCCCCCTATATACGTCCTCCCCCTCTACTAAATCCCAGCACCCCCCTCTACTAAATCCCAGTCCCCCCCGCCAATATCCTAAATCCCAGTTCCCCCCCCCCTACTAAATACCAGCACCCCCTCTAACCAACTAGCAGACTCCACTCACATTGCCATTGCCAGTATGTGACTCCGCAGTCCGGCCTCTGGTATACCCCATATAGCGTCGTCCGCACCCTGTGCCAAACGGATTCTCCCACTACTTCTTGAAACCCTGTGAAGGTGGAGCACGTCAACGTCATGTCGGAATGTGACGTGGCGTTGCGTGTCTCAGTGCACCTCCAAGTACTCCACTGTCCAGCTGCGGCCATCGCAACACAGACCGACACACACTCACTAACACGCACAGACACACTCACTGACAGACACACACACTCACTGACACACAGACACACACACATACTGACAGACACCCACACACTCACTGACAGACATTCACTCACTGACAGACACTCACTCACTGACAGACACATACAGACACTCACTCACTGACAGACACACACTGACAGACACACACACATTTACACATACTTGCACACACTCACATCATTCCCTGGGGTCCAGTGGGGATCTTCTATCTGGAGATCTCCTTCCTGCTCCTCACTGCTCCCTCGGCATTACTACAGACAGCGCACACGAGAGAGCAGTGAGGATCAGGAAGACTGAACTCCCTCGCTGCCGCCAGCACCTGCAATGTGGAGAAAGCCGGTGCCTACTCTGCTTTAACACCAAGCATGTATTACCAAGATGTCCATTGTGGGCTGCATGCGGCCCGCGGGCTGCAAATTTGACATGCTTGTTGTAGAGCATACAAATTAGGTTTATTTTAATGTTGTTGCAGAAGTAACATTTAATAACTGGAAATAGATGTTTGCATTGGACTAGCCTCTCGTTCAATGCTTCCAAAGTGACTTAATGTGAATTTGGTCCTAAAACAATAGTCATTCCCAGGACAAATGAATTGAACACATTGCGTAATAACATTTGTGTTCCCTTTCTTGACCTTTTTCATTTTAATGGTCACTTGTGACCACTATGCAATCACCTAGTTTGACTACAGAGGGATAGATTGTATGTGCCAAGTGTGATCTTCTGCCAAATTAGGCTGGATATTCTCCCAAGTCAGATATTTTCCATTTGTAATGTTCCCTATGTCTCACCATGAATCTGGAACGTGACTGGTTAATCCTTTGCTTTCTATAGAAGTACTTTACTGCTATCACATTAGACATCTCTAACCCAATAACCTGTGAAGGAGAAGAAAGGTCTTGTATACTTATGTGAGAGGCTGTTTCAAAAGGGGAAAAGTCAATTCTTTATTAAATGCCTTTATGGCCAAAATCATTAGCAGCCACTACTAGAGAATGAAGTATCTGAAAATCAATGATTTCCCACGAAAAAAGGGAAAAGAAAAAAAATGAAAGAAAGAAAATGTGCTGTGATAAGCTTATCCTACACAGTCTGCTATTGCTGGCAAATGAGAGATCAAAACTGCTTACCTAGAAAACCTGTTATTAGACTTTGCTATGAGAGAATAGACTGAGAAATCACATCATTGGCTTCGCAATGGTCAACCTATGAATCCATGGAGGGCACTTCAAACAGGAAATACTGCGAGTGATATGTGAGCTTTCTCCGACTGAAAAATTCTCAGAGTTCTCAGCTCAGAATGAATCTATTATATCTGAAAGCTACATCACTCAGAATGAGATGAAATAATATATATGCACACACGATTAGATCATCATGGTGCATTATGAAGCTGCAATAAATTATCAGAACACTTACTGGGAAATGTGATAGTAAGGTTTCACAAATCATAACTTCATCCCTTCACTTTTACCGGTGACATCACCTATAACTTCTCATATGATAGCATAAAAATCACATTTTACATGGTATCGTCTGGTGCGTCATCATTTTCTGTACAAAACTAAAGTTAGTAGAATAGACAGTTTGGGTCATTGGGAGCAGTCAAAGGCAATCCTACAAGATCTGCTGTGTGATGTGATTAATTGAGATTAGTGAGAAAGAAACTCCACTTATTTTTCTATCAACACAATAGTATCTAATAATGTCCACAGAGATTATACAATTTTTTAAATAATTTGAAATATCATTTTTAATTAGTCTTGGCAGGTCTATTTTTCAGTATGTCTGGTTTGAAATCAGTTAAAAAAAAATTAAAGTGATATTAATATAGAAAGAATACCTCTGTGATTAGAACCGACAAGAAAATATGACTACTAACCTATGCCTTAGAGATATGCATGTGGGCTCCATAAACATTTAAGGGAGGTTGGATGTTGGGTGTCATTGCTCCAGTGTCGTCTTGAAACCGGTGCATATGTAATAAAGCTGTGCGTCATTCCTTTGTTGAAACTCGGATTTCTCCCCTTTGCATTACATTCTTATATCCTCATGCCTACATAATTTTTTGATGCCATAGCGATCTGCATAAATCAAACAATGCAAGTCATTTGCCGTCAATGTTGATGTGGGCCAAAAGTACATAACCTGGGGTTTTATGAGGCAATACTGACCACTCCTTTTTTATCATGTCATCGTCTGTTACCAGAGAGTGCGTATTAACTTGTGGTGTGTGATTTTAGTTTTGACTTGACTCTAATATCTGACTACTCTGATCTCTGAAATTCCTGACTCTGGCTTTGTCCAGGCAAACCAAAAATAGAAGAAGAAAAAAAGATTAAACAGAAGAACTCAATAAACAAAAAAAAAATGTTAGATGTTCACCAAACTGCTGCTGGCCAGGTAGAAGAGAAAGTTCTCTAGACATAGAAAACACTGGGCTGGTTACCAGAAAAACACCTTGCTCCAACAGAGTACACAACTCATTGCAAATCATTAGTATGAACAATCTGGGCATAAAGATCTGCACCACAGAGCGAGCCAAAGCCTAATGAGTTTCAGACCCAAAAGCGGGTTTCATACTCTTGTCTGTTTGCAGACTGTATCCTACACTTTCATACGTTAACCCCAGCAACCCTAAGGACGAGTAGGACACTGTAGGTACAAAAGGCCAGAATCTAAACTGGTCTACTAGAATAAAGAATTAGTTTGAGATACCTTTTGATACTTTTGAGGGATGTGAAGTGTGGCTTTGTTCACCATTACTCAGCACTTCCTACATAAGTTTAATTTGTCTTTTGGCTATAGGCTATACAAATTTTCATTCACAAGGTAGTTGTTTTTGGATTTTCTTGGCTGCGTATTTTAAATCTTCTCTTTCCCATCAGAAGGTTCTGTTTTGAATCAAGATGATATAAGAATACACTTTATTATCACTTACTGTTTTCATTCTTGTCATTTTGTGTTTTGTTG